TTGGTCTGACCCAGTCTGGCCGCTCTTATGTTCCAACTAAACCCATGTGCATAGCATGTTTCTTTTTGGCTCTTCCTATGAAAATCGTGTTTTGAAAAGTGATCTTCAAGGGAGGGAAAAAAATTGGGATTGTCCCTTTCCCCACTCTCATTTTGGTGTATAAAGAAAAACATTTCTTAATAAAACCCCTTTCTTTTGTACTTTTTAACCTTAGAAGCATGACGAATATTTAGCCACATCTTCCCTGGGTTAGCTAGAGGATTTCTTGGGGGACTTTGGGAGTATTGGGAGCTTTCTTGGTTCTTAGTTGAAGGGATGAGGGAGGAGCATATTTAGCACAGACAGTTGCCATCCCAAGTGTTAATTAGCTATTAACAAAACCTAAAGCGTTTGAATCAGACTGAGGAAAAAAATCACTTCTCATGTCAGTGTACGAGGTTTCAAATTGAGGCTTGCTGTGATGTCTTAATCATCCAGTTGTCCATAGAAAAACCAGGCTAGACAATGCTTGAGTTCCTAATGCACAGAGAAACCAGGGGAAAAATGCTTCACCCCCAACATTTTGGCCCTTCCTCATATTTCATAAATCTTCAAGGAGAAGGGCAGGTGCCCAAGTGTTGCCTTCACGTAATACAAAGGGCTGCGTTCGCCCACCCTTTAGTCCTGTTTACTGGTACCTGACTGCTCAGGAAGCCCTATGCATTGGCAACTCAAGGACTTTTGAAGGCAAACTCTCCCTGCAAGGAAATGAAACAAATCTATCCCCCCTGTGGCCTTCCTATGTGTTGATCCTCCCCATCTTCAGGCATGCTTCTTCACTCCACCCTTGACTTGTTCATGATGGGGGGGCTCCTTCAAAGGGCATGCATAGCCCGCCAGTAGGGTGAGGTATTTGGCCATGATCCAGGAACTGGTTTCATGTGGACCATTCTCCCATTGCTCCTTGTCCTGTCCTCCAAGGCCAAGGAGACCCCAGTTGGGTCATGTGTACACACTGGGATCTGCATGTGGTGGGTCATTGTCCCTTACGCCTCGTACAATGAGGGTTATAGGAGTCGGGGTAAGAAGTCCTCCAGCTTGACAGTATTTCGAAATAACGCTAGTTATTCAATGCTATCTTTCTCTACGAGTAATCCTTTTGGAACCAGGGGACGACTCATGGGGCAACGTCCTTCTACATGGCAGTCTTAGAATGCCAGAATCTGGCCCTGTTGCATGTTAATCACAAGAACGACAGTGTCTTAACTTGGGCTAACAATGCTTCTACTTCAAGTGCAATCATTTACAATATAAGTGGCTTTTCCTACTTTGGTTTTGGGTCCATTCCACCATCCCATGTATTCTAGCTCCATTCCTTTTTATCAGCAAAAAAAATTCCCATGGCCTAGAAGCTTATTTTATTCCTTCTTAAATTCTCATATATTTTGTGTATCGAGGCTTTTAATGTTGTTGGCGAATCAGGGGTGAGATGGTACTGTGAAATGGATCACTTTTGGGGGCTGTCCTAAACACTGTGATTCGCACAGAACTGAACAGCCTGTGCATGCATTACCTTTGAAAAGTCTTAATCCTGAATAGTTGCCTTGAAGCTTTGAGAGTGAGAAGCATTATATATTTTTCCCCCCTCTTTGAAACTGTTTCTCCCACCCCCTTTTGGAAACCACATTTCAACAGGCTGGGTTTGTAAAGCCATTTTGTTGTTGTTTGTTGTTTTTAGTGTGGTTAGTGGCTGTCTCGCTAGTCTTGGTGGGTTATTGTATATTATTTTCTCTATTGTTCAGCAGCATAAGAGAACCTTTGTCATACTCCCAGCAGAGCTATTTATATAGTGCGGCATTTCTAATAACCACTTCCTGTGCTGGTGTTCTTCCGCCTTCTGTAGGAACAAAATAGTCCCTCTGGGTGTGTCTAGACTACAGGGTTTTTTCAAAAGAAGTGGCCTTTTTTTGAAAACTTCCCTTGCATCTAGACTGCTGCCGCATTCTTTTGACAGTAACTCAAAAGAACGCGGCAGTTTTTTGACCGTGGAAAACCTCGTTTTACAAGGAAGAATGCCTTTTTTCGAAAGTGCTCTTTTGAAAAAAGGTGTGATGTAATGCAAACTGTACTTTTTTGAAAGAGAGCATCCAGACTGCCTGGGTAATCTCTTTCGAAAACACGGCTTGCTTTTTCGAAAGTACTGGTTGTAGTCTAGACGCTCTTTTTCGAAAGAGGCTTTTTTGAAAGTATCTTTCAAAAAAGCCCCTTTCGAAAGAGGCTTGCAGTCTAGACGAGGCCTCTCTGAGGAAGTCAGAGTAGCAGTAATTCCTACCGGTACCCTAATCCTGAATGCTGAAATAGAAAATAGAGGTTACAGTTACGGTTATCGGTTTTACTTAGTTCCACTCAAAGCAAATCTAACGCTTACAAAAGTATTTGTTATAGAATCATAGAACACTAGCACTGGAATGAACCTCGAGAAGTCTTCGAGTCCAGTCTCCTGCCCTCATGGCAGGACCAAGCACTGTCTAGAATATCCCTGAGAGATGTCTATCCAACCTGCTCTTAAACATCGCCAGTGATGGAGGTTCCACAACCCCCCTAGACAATTTATTTCAGTGTTTAACCACCCTGACAGGCAGGAAGTTTTTTCGAATGTCCAACCTAAACCTCCTTTGCTGCAATTTAAGCCTATTGCTGTTTCTCCTATCCTCAGAGTCCAAAGAGAATAATTTTTCTCTCTCCTCCTTGTGACACCCTTTTAGGTACTTGAAAACCGCTATCATGTTCCCTTTCGGTCTTCTCTTTTCCAAACTAAACAAGCCCAGTTCCTTCAGCTTTCCCTCACAGATCATGTTTTCTAGAGCGTTTATCATTTTTGTTACTCTTCTCTGGACCTTCTCCAATCTCTCCACAACTTTCTTGAAATGTGGTGCCCAGAACTGGACACAATCCTTCAGCGCAGAGCAGAGCATAAGAATGACTTCTTGTGTCTTGCTCACAACACTCCTGTTAATGCAGCCCAGAACCATGTTGGCTTTTTTTTGCAACAGTGTCACATGATTGACTCATATTTAGCTTGTGGTCCACTCTGACCCCTAGATCCCTTTCCGCAGTACTCCTTTCTAGACAATGACTTCCCATTCGGTATGTGTGAAATGGTTTGTTCCTTCCTAAGTCGAGCACTTTGCATTTGTCCTTATTAAACTTCATCCTATTTACCTCAGACCATTTCTCTAGCTTCAGAGGGGTAGCAGAGTTAGTCGGTAACTGGAAAAACGTAAACAAGGAATAGTCTAGCAACACCTTAAAGACTAACAAAACATAGATCTGGTATCACAAGCTCTCATGGGTACACAAAAGTGGGTGGAACCCATGAAAGCTCATGATACCATCTACATGTTTTGTTTGTCTTTAAGATGCTGCTAGACTATTTTTTTTAAATTTTTTTACGTTTTACCATTTCTCTAGTTTGTCCAGATCAGTTTGAATGTGTGCTCCTCCAAAGCACTTGCCAACCCTCCCAGCTTGGTTTCATTTTCAGACTTAATAAGCGTACTCTCTTTGCCATCATCTAAATTGTTGATGAAGTTATCGAACAGAACCAGTCCCAACAGAGACCCCTGCAGAACTCCCCTTATGTGCTTCCAGCATGATTGTGAACCATTGATGATTAATCTCTGAATAGTTGTTGTATATGGTGAGGCTTCTTGGTCCCTGTCAGATGGAGTAACCAGATAGCAAGGGAAAAAATGGGGCCAGGAGAGGGGGTGATGGCTGGTGCTTATGCAAACAAAGCCCCACAGGTCACAGCTGTCCCTATAAAATGGGGTCACCCCACAATCAGTCTGCCCAAGGCAGAGGGCCCATCCTCTGTGGCCAAGCTGATAACATAGGGGCCCCACCCCTAGATCCATGCACAGACACTATCCTCCGTGCACAGCTCTCCAACCCCTAGCATGGCAGGGCAGCTAATCAACACAATGGGCACAGCTGAGGTCATGGTAGGGATCTGTGCATGGGCTTAGGGCAGGCCAGGGGTGGGACTGCACCGGGCTGTGTTCTTTTACTCCAGTGGGGGATCCCTTATTAAGGGGGGAGAGATCCTTGGCAGGTGAGTACTGGTGGTTCTGCCACTAGGGAAAGGAAGGAAGTGGGTAAGTACCTGGTTGGGTCCACGGGCTTTGAGATTTGGTTCCCAGGAACGTCTAGGTCCACCTCTAATTGGTTTCTGCCCTAAGCAGAAATGGGTATATCCGATGCTAGGGATTGTGTGATATTTTAATGAGCCAGGCTCTTAATAGACAATAACCCCTGGCAAGAAATCATCACAAACAACAACTTTGCTCTCTTTGGAAACACTGAGCCGTCCTGGTTCAAAAGAATCCAAGACTCAAGGTCAGCACTGGAGCTGGTAGAGGGAGCTTACATTTCACATGGCTGCTTTGTGTCCGACCTGAGCCAACGGCGCTGGACTCTCCATCATACTATTAGCAATCATTAAAATGCTCCGAAAACTTAGAGAAACAGAGAGACACAAGCATGAAAAGCAGCAGCCAATGGTGTTCCTGTTTTAGCTTCCCAGCTATCAGTATTTTGAAAGGGGAAAATACTGTGCTGGGAATTTCTACTTCCCATGGAAACCAAGAGTATAATATGAGTGCATAGTGTAAGCACCAACCCAGATGTCAAAACTACGTACACTGGAAAAAAAATAGCCCACTCTTGGTATTGGTCTGTGTGCCCTGTGAAAAGGGATAGATCATACTCCCTATTTGAAGTGATCCCTGAATTATTGTTTGTGAAAGCGGGCAAAACCCCTTTCTCTTTGTCTGCCATTACTAACCAGCTGTGCAAGAAGTTAAACATAGTAATTAACCCATATGTGACCCACTAACTACGGCTGATTTCCAGACGGGGCAGGATGGTAACTCTAGCTTGCAATTTGAACCTCCTGTGTTCGTAATGATGATTTTACAGGGTAATGGTTGGCACTAAATCCTCTCCCTTTTGCTCCGTAGCCGGTGTTGTGACAAGAAAAGCTGTGGCAACAGAAATGAGACTCCATCAGACCCAGTGATAATTGACAGGTAAGGACCGCGATTGTTTCCTTCAATTTTATTTTATTCCTCATTATAAGGACACACCTGTGCGGTGTGGCGAATGGGAAAGGGGGTCTGCGTCTCTGTGGCTGAAATTTTGTTGTTGATACCGAATTCGTTGCAGTGTGCGGTTGTGATTCCCAAGGAAGGACCATATGGAATGTAACTGCTCTTTGGAATGCTCCATTTTTTGCTGTCTGATTCATGTTCCTAAAGGGGATATTTTTCTTTGCTGACTTTCTGTGGCTCAGTTCACATGCTGTGCCAGGGAAGCTTCTGGAATAAAATAATGGTTTATGATTTATGGAATGTGGTTGGGCGCTTATAAATGTTTAACTTTAATTTGAAAAATGTTTGAATCATTATCACTTTCAGCTACAGTTGTCCTGTTGGATTTAATCCATCTACATTTTAAGGTTTTTATTTAGGCATAAAAACAGTTTTAAAAAAATCTGCAAACTAAGATTTTTCTCTGGTTGTTTTCTTTGGTTGGAGTGCTATTTTGACTATCCTGTCAGTTGGCTAATTTATTTTGCCCGTCTTAATTATTGTGTTTTTAAACAAATCCATATTACTAATCTGACATGCCCAAGCAAATCACTGTAGAACGATAAATCTGTTTTAATTGTTCTGAGCAACTGTCAGTCTGTTTGCAAATTATGCAAAGTTGCACCCGAATAGTCATTTTTAGATTTTAATTATTGGAATTCATTGTACAGAAACATATTTGATAAACAGTTTATTATGTGGCATTACTCTGAGAGTGTTAAATAGCTACAAAGGACTGAAACTGTCTGTCATCAAAAGCAATACTGTACGGTAATCGGTGAATATAGGGACCCTGAAGGGAAACTAACTTATATACAGGAAAAGCACAGGATAGAGGCTAGTTCTTCTTTGTCTTATTGTCTGCGTTAACGTCCGCTATATTGAGCTCAAAATAACTTTGGTGCGGGATTGTCCATTTTTATGAAAAAAGCTAAAGAATCAGATCTGTTCTGTGCCACAGCAAAACAGAATGATAGAAAAGAGAACACAGCAGAGAGAGACCAGTTGGCATTGTACTTAGGCAGTCTTTCAGGTTTATCTCTTGTTTGAGTTGGTTGAGTAAGGGCATGTTTTGGCAGCTTGGAGAGAAAACTATCAAGTCCTGAGATAATGTAAAATATATCTCTTTTAACTGTGCATCCTTTAGCTTAATATCAGAATTAGGTAACAACAGGGGAAGTAAAAGAACACATAAAAACACACCTCTGTAGAGAGCTCTCTAAGCAGGCTGCAGAATTGAACAGTATGAAATAGGGTGTTCAAGTGGTTACATGAAAGCGACGCAATTCCCATGCATTTTTCATTGTACTGAGAAGTGAAATGTTGTGATGCCAATAGCTGGTTTACAGAAATATTTTGTTTATCAATCCAACATGCACAACTGGTAGTTGCAACTTATTTAAGCTGTGAACTGTACAGATTTTCACCAGCTTTCATGGTGAGAAAAACAAACAAACAGCAAAACACTTCTGAAAAAAATTGATTTAACTTCCTAGTTGCACTCACATTAGCAGTTTTTACTGAAATGGAGAGAAGGCTTGCAATTTCAAATAACAGGTTTAAAAAAACCCAAGTTGAATACGGTTGAGATTATAATATAAATCTTACCTTGCCTCCCGCCATGCACCCCCTTTTGCTTGTGAATGGGTTAAGCTTTTAAGTTCTTCACTTGGTTTTAAATTGTGACTTTGATACAGAAGGTTGATATGACGGTGGTTTGAATAACATTTGATTTTGACCTGTTCCTGTGGGTTGCAATGGGATAAGAAATTTGACTCAGCAGTGCTGTAATTAGCCTTCCCTCTGTTTTTGAAACAGGATTGTGTTACCTGGATCGCATTAGTGTGGCTTCTATTGTTGCCGCTTTGCATCTGTCCCAGTAGGGTACTTAAAACCTTTTCTTGGCCGTAGCTAGTTCAGACAATTTTGGCCAAATAAGTACGTGCTTTGTGCAGTTAGTGGCTTCAGTGATGTTTCTCGTGACATTTATCCTATTCATTTTTTTCCCCTTTTGGTTTGAAAAGTATAAAGACCCCTATCTATATGGAGTCTGTATTTCTTAAGAGGAGTACTTGGAAAATTGTTGTAAAAAAAAGTCTGCCCAGGAACACGTGTTTAGTTGTGCTTCTTGTCATTTCTGTATGCATAAAATCTTCAGCTCCTGTGTCAATTGAGATCCAAAACCGTATTTAGCTATTTTTATTTGCATTTGAGGAAGCAGAATTTATTTGTCACTTGGTATAAAGCACTCCCTCCCATGTCTTGCTTTATCTTTGAATTTCATCTAACTTCAACACAGAATCACCATCTAAACTATCAGGTTTTTAGACAACCTTATTTGCATGAAAAACGCTGCCCTCTTCTCTCTTTTTTGACTGTCTTTTTTGGATTGGTTATTCAAGAAAGCCATTTGTGGGATACATATAGAACAGTCTTTGGGGCTACAGAGTTAACCTTTACAATGAACCTAAAAGTTAGAATTTTTTAACTAGATATTTAGGAAATATGGACTGTATCTTTTATTTTCTTCAAAATGGGATTACAATTTTAATAGATTATAATGAGACCAGTCTAGAAAATTACTTTATATTTTACTCTATCATAACAACATGCTGGATGGCTGTAAAAATGATCAAAAGACATTTAGCATCAGAGAATTCAGCAAATTCAGAGAAGAGAGGGATAAATCTATTCTTCTTATAGAGCAGTCATCTTAAGGAAGCTCATGGGCAGAAAAACCCAGTGTGCGTGGAATTGTCTTTTTAGAGTAGCCTCTATGTTTGGTCACTAACCCAGTTTTACACGTATCCAAACGGAGCTCCAGAACTAATTGTTGCAGAGGTATTATTGTCACTGCGTGAATGTACAACGATTCCTGTTACAAGTGAAGCACTGGGCTGTATAGTAAACCTAGATAAAACAAAAATGTAGCACTTCCTGTTATTTCTTTAAATTCTAGATTGATTTAACATTCAAATTGTGACTCATCTTTGAATTTATAAGGTTTGCAATAAAATTACTGTGCAGGAATTGAATAAATTGTGGTTTTATTACCCCCCTAGATATCCCTCTTTCCTAACCTTTTTCCTTACAGTTATCTTAGTTCAATAAATAAAACCTCATTAGACTATTCCCATTTCAACGAGTTTATTAAATTTTACAGGAGTAATTAGCATAAGCTGTGCTAATTTTTCTGGAAGACTAATGAGAGAGCTTCCTAATTAGGTTTGCTTTGTCAGAATCAGAAAAGATGATAATGACAAAAATCACGCAGGATGGGAAGTGGAGCTTTCTATTAGTTCTTGATTTGGGAAAATGGCTTTTGTACCCTGACACCCATGCCAACTTTTTTTTTTAAACCCAGCTGACCACTGCAGATTGTGATGTTCAATTGAGATATCAGTGCTTGCTGTGTTTTCCCTTACCTTTTATGGGCAGATTTAGTAAACAGTAGTCCTGCTGGTTGAGATAATACAGATTGAAAGTATCTCCAGCCCGTGGCAGACAAACTTCAGTGTAAAGTGTCATGTCCTGTCTACTGGCCAATATGTCCTTCTACTGTGGGGTGTCACCAAGTGACAACCGTGTGCCTGGTAATCTTTGCCCTAACTGTTTCCAGATGGCACGGTTAGTCAGTGCGATACAGGTTGAATCTCTCTAGTTTGGCACTCTTTGGTCTGGCAGCATCTGAGGCTGGCAGTGGATGTCCACTTATCATGGGTGTGGCCAAGTTTCCCTCAGTCCTGTAAAGTTTGTTTACAGCGGCCTGTCCTGGCTCAGTGTTCTTTCGCTCTAATTGATCCTAAATGTGTCTTCAAGACGGTCTTGGCTTGCCTTAATTTACGCTTCCTATTGGTGGCGTCTTACATCCAGCCAGTAGAGAAGCCAGGGGGATAGCCTGGCTACTCTGGGCCCCCTCTCCATTTTGTCTCACAATCTGGCATGCATCGGGGAGAGCTGGGAGCATGTGCTGCGTCTTCAGCTTGCCCTGCATCAGAAGGAGATGGTGACTTTCATGGAGATGGAGATTGTTCAGCGGACACTCCCGGCAAGGGAGCCAATATTGACACAATTGCAGAATAAACGGAGACGCCATTTTGGTTGCACAAATCCAAAATGAGGCTCATTGGAGGAACAGCAACATGGAAGTGTGTGACCATATGTTGGTCAAAAGAGGACTGTGGCAAGGGCTACATGTCCATACCTGATGTATGTCAAAGTAGGCTATCCTTGCTCAATCTGCTGGTACAGACCCATCTTCCCTAATGGCCCCATCCCAGTAAAGTTCTGCTCTTGTATCACACAGACCAAAGGTATTCATGCCTCATGCACGTTCTCAAAAGGGAAAGAATTCAGCCTAAATCAGGGACTGTGATTTGCCTTCAGCTCACGACTTGACTTTTTGAGAGGTACAAATGTCTGAATCCATCAGCCAATAAGCACTTCAAAACTCCGACTTGGCTTAGAAAGGAACCCCGGTGCGCCTTCGGGAATTGTGGAAGAACGACACGGGGTGGGTGCAAGAATTTTCCTTGGGTTCAGCCCATGTGGGCGTGTGCCTCTTTCCCCAGCCTTTCCTTACTCACACTCCTGAGTTCTACTCTGCGTTTCAACTTTGAATGAACCCCAAAATCTCAGAGCCGAAACTGGCAGCAACCAAACAACATCCACTTGTTTATTTGTTGCATTGGATTGGGAAAAGCCAAAGCATGTGATACGATGTTAGAATGATGGTGCAAAGCCCTAACACGCACTCGGCTCTGCTCAAGAGGTTTGTGAATCTCTTGGAAACCCAGTTCTGAAATTTCCAGTTGGTTTTCTGTTGTGTTGGGGGTTCTCTGTGAGTTGTAAGAGTGTTCTGGGTTTCTCTGAAAACATGCCACACTGCACTACTGGGTAATCGATTCTCTCAGTAATAACTTTTGAAACTGCAGTTAGGG